TGCTTTGTTTTGCTTGAGGCACTTTTTACCTTCTGCCAGTAAATCCTATGCTGGCACCCAGACGCGGCATCGCCAGCCCAAGCGCGAAGCCGCGCAGACAAGCAGCCTAAGGGTCAAGCAATCAAGCAACAAGCAGCAGGAGCATGCAGGAGGAATAAAATCCCTTAGACGCGATACCCGGAGGCAGCCGACTGACCACTGTCAGTCGAGACGTCCGCTGCCGCCACAAAGCGGGCGGCCGCGGACGGAGAAAGGGCAGCCGCCGACAAGGAGCCGGCGTTGCCCGGGGGTCCGCCTGGGGCAGCGGACGGAGGGAGGCTGGACACATGAACAAGAAGGCGCACACTTTGGTTGCAGAAGCCATGCCAGTAAATCCTATACATACTCGTCCTCCTCGCTAGCCTCCGAGTCAGCAGTAGCCGAGTCAGCGGTAGCCCTTCACTTCGAGGTCGTCACTGGCGGGATTACACTTGGCGGCCTGCCTATCGGCACGGATGGATTTCATGCTAGTCAGCTCCGAGCGAAGGTCTCTACCCTCAACGACGAGCTCTCGAAGCTCGGGCTCGTCCAGCATGGCTTCATGTTCAAGACGCTGGTGAGGGCGAGCCATCTCCAGAAGCTGCGCTTCTTCCTCCAGGGGTCATCTCCGTTTCTCCCGCGGGTCCAGTCACAGATTCGTCGCTTTGACCTCTCTGTCCACCTGGCGCTTGAGAAATACCACCGCTGGCCTTCCTCGCAGTACCTCGCCGCGCATCCCGACCTGCTAGAGTTTGCGAGGTTCAAGCGGGAGCTTCCGCATAGTCGGGGAGGGGACGAGTTCACGCCCTCTGAGGGTCTACACCCCGCTGTTTACTATACGGCTATCGCTCGCTTCCTCGCTTGGTACTCTGACCAGCCCATGTCCCGGATGTTGCCCTCTCCTCATAGCCTGGACGTTCACTGCTCGAGATCTCTCCGTGCCCAGAAGCATCCTCTGGCGACCTTCTTCGTTGAGGCGCACGACTTCGTTCATAATGCTGGAGCGATCCTCTACCGTCGTGTGAAGGCTCCTGCACCGGCTGCAGATGGCGCGGCGATCCCACCTGCCCCGGCTGCTGTGCCTGATGACGCAGGACGCCCCCCGGCATCTGTGGTACACATCCCTGGTGCACTTTTTACCTTCTGCCAGTAAATCCTATGCTTGTTTGCGCGCTCTCGTCGACTCGTCTCATGAGCACTTCATTCCTCCCCCTGCGCAGCGAAATGTGACCCCTCTTGTCATGCGCGTCTTCCCTCGCCATGTGCATGCTCGCGCTGCGCTGACCGATCAGCAGCGTGATATCCTCACCTTGCACAGCCGCAGGACACACTCGCTCAAGTCGCAGGATAGGGTCTTGTAGAGGATTTACTGGCAGAAGATAAAAAGTGCCTCAAGCAAAACAAAGCAGGAACAAGCTG